TGGCTTTGATTTAACACAGCTAATAATAGAAATGGACAACTTTCACTGACTTTTTGAAAATGTAAAACTTAAATACAAGGTGTTCGTGTTTTTTTTATCATCAATGACCTTGAAAGTGTGATAAATTTCGAATCAACCAATCAAATAACAATTAAAACCATCAAGGGAAGCACTACTTATTGAAAAAATATATTTGAAATCACAGGAATCGATCAATGTTAGACCAACACCATTAGAAAAACTTGGAATCACTGAATGGCCATTTCATCTTGGTATGAGACTCGTCAGTAGTGCACAACCATGACTCATGCATCTCGCAGGATTTGAACCCAACTTGTAACTCACACATATAAATTCAAATGTGGAATTTGTAAAATAAATTAAGAATGCCTTAACCATTAGAGTAACGTCTGCTACAATTCAAATTCTCGATTATCTTGATGAGAAGTACTTGTTAAAACAATAAATGTCACCTTGAAAATGATTATGTGTTATTGTAAAAGTTCCTGATCCAGTGTACCACACCTTTATTAATCATGAGGGATGGTTCAATATATATATATATAAATAGAGGGAAAGAGAGAGATGGGAATTCTCGTCTTTATACATACATAATTTATTATCAGTATAACGCATGTTGTTGTAGATTAGTTTTTTCCATTATTCATGTAATCGTTGTGAAATGTTAACATTTTTTTTTAAAAAAATACGCCTTGTTTAAATTCCCGCCCTTCAATCTATCCATCCCTAAAATGATGCATATAAACAAACCCAAACACACACACACAGAGAGTTTCTCTTGTTTGTATTAAATTAAATGTACCGTTTTCTTGTAAACTAGATTATTTTAATATAGTATATACTAATGAATAATTGTGTGTTTTCAATATTCAATGGACATTGGCGCAATTTTTAAATTAATGAGTTCAACTTTTTTTTTCAATAGTAGTTAAAATGTCGTTATTTAGCACAGTGGATATGAAGGGATAGCATTATATAACACCACACTGCTGAGAATATATATTTAAGAGTTTTATACTAAAAAATGCTTGTTTTGTGTTCATTGGTTTCTTTACTCTCCCTTCCTAAACCATGGATTAAAGACTTTGAGTGACATGGTTTAAAATTGTTTTGGGGCACAGTTTTGGAGGTTTGCGATTTTTTACACATTTGAAATCATCAATCAATCATTGTTAGACCACCATTAGAAACCTGAAAGCACTGGACGGCCGTTTCGTCCTGGTATGGGGCTCATCAGCAGTGCGCATCCACGACTCCTGCTCCTCGCAGGATTCGCACCCGGGACCTTTGGCATTGTAGGCGAACGCCTTACCATCGGACCACTGGGCGGGAATCCTACAAGGAGCAAGAGTCATGGATGCGCACTGCTGATGAGTCCCATACCAGGACGAAACGGCCGTCCAGTGCTTCCAGGTTTCTAATGGTGGTCTAACAATGATTGATTGATGATTTGAAATGTTAAAATTGTTTGTTGTAATGATGCAGGTGTGTTAACTGATATGATATAATAATCTTTTTGAATTTTTCATGAACGTTTTTCCTATTTTTAAATCTAATTTCACTAGGATATACTTCTCGGCTTATATCTCCAGTTTCTAATCTCTTCTGTCACTTGTAATACTTCTGTTATCCCTACTATTATAAGATCTAAACTGACAGTTGTATCTCTGTGTGCTAATGTTTTATGGAAACTTGAAATGATGTACGTACGTATGTACGTACGAAGTTCTACGTTGTAGCTGACTTGACTTGACAAAATGTAATTCAGCTAGAACTTTCTATCAACTATCTTCAACTAGTGTTGACTCATTCATATTTCTCGAATGATTTCTTCAATCCGACCGAGTAACCAATTCTGTTGTTAGGAAACGAGTATTATTAGGTAAGCACGGTAGATCAATAGATGAAGTAATGAAACTTCATCAGTTGAGGTGGTTGGGACATGTGCTGCGTATGCCAAACCACCGACTGCCTCGTCAAGCTATGCTTTGCGGTATAGGGATAGGTTGGATGAAAGCTAGGGGCGACCAGACCAAAACATGGCAGAAATCCATGAAGTCACTGACAAGTGAACTGAGTTATGTGGGTAGGTGTCGACTACCCGGTTGGGGTTCGCGAAATGATAGTAATCGATGGTCAGAGACCTTGAATGACATGGCTTAAATTAGTTTGCAATGGCTCAGGTGCGTTCATTCTTTGTGTTCTCTCAAATCCTAATCTTCTGGACTTGTCAGCACCACTAGATTTGTCTTTCTAACCTTATCTCACTGAATTATACTTCTTGAATATTATCTTCTAACCCTGATCTCTCCGATTACTGCTAATACTTCTACTGTCGCTACCACTATTGGATTTGAACTGACAGTTGTGTCTCTGTGCTAATTTGGTATGGCAACTTGAACTGTGATGTACATACTTAGGAAGTTCAACGTTGTAGCCAACTGACTGAATTCTCTCCTCCAACTGATTATGATCATGTTGTATTTAAACCGAAATTTTTTTCCCTGGTACTTGTTGACCTAAACTCTTTCTTTTTCATATCAAAAGTAGCTTTTAAGATTTTGATTCAATTTTCAATGACTTTGAATTTTGAATTTCGTACATGATATTTTTTGAAATTTTCAAACGAAACTTATCACATTGATAATTGAAACTGG